GGAGTTCTGGCATTTCTGAACGTCACTGAGTGCCATGTCATGTGGTCACCATTTGTGACCTCCCGCCGGCTTCCCCATTTGCTGGTTGAAAGTCAGAAAGAAGATCACCAATGATGATCCTGTGACTGTGGAGATGCTACAACAGCCACAACTACTAGGATCTATCATAAGTATCACTCATTCGGCACTATTGTAAGTTCAAATTTATGAATGAATGGTTATTAACCAAGGACTACCTGCATGTTTTTGGCCAGAGTTATGCTGCGTAAGGTGGTGAGTATATATAGCTAATCAATAAATAAGAGAATTAATTAATTAAAGCTATTCTTATCTAAGTTAATAAATCTGTACCATACCTTCTTCATTGTTTCAACTCGTTTTAGAATTAATCTTCCTATTCCCAAAAGGCAACAACTAAGTAAAGCTTTCTATTTGGTCAAGGCTCATTATTCTTTCATAGTACAAGTCTAATTTCTTTTTAAAGGTCATTTGTAATGGAATGTGTGGAAGACTTTGTGGAAAGAGGTAAAGAGATGCTGCCTAGGAAACAATCAGGCAAGAGAGGTATAAGCCCCCAGTAGCTTAGTAGTCAGAGAAAGAAACTTAGGAAGGACCTGCCCTAATGGATCAAGCAGTTAAAAGTGGCAGTGTGAAGTTTGTACTTACAGCCTTGTAAGACTGATGTTAGCCTTCTTAGGTAAATCAGACAGGAAATATGATTACGTGAACTAATTCTACTTTATTGTAATGCTACTGTTGTTTTTTAATTTTTAGCCAGATTAGTAGTAATGTATTCCTAATTGTGTGTCTTTTGAAATAAATATGTGTTTTATATCTTTCATCCCATAAAAAGGAGTGCCAGCCCGCTTGTAATTCATGGCCTTCGATTGTTAATATCCTGCTATTTTTTAATTCCATCCAATCTTTTACCCATGATAACACCGTTGCCTGATAATAGAGTTCCCAATCCGGGAGTGCTGTTCCTCTATCTTTTGTATCTTGAAGTAGCTTAAGTTTAATTCGTGGTCGCTTCCCCTGCCATATGAATTTAGATATTATCTTATTCAATGTTTCAAAAAAAAAAAATCTCTAGTTTTATTGGAGCGACCTGAAATAAATATAATAGTTTTGGTAGGATGTTCATTTTAATAGTGTAATGCTACATTGACAGAAACTTGCAATTCTGAAAGTACAAATTTCCAGCCACTCATTGAAAACTATAATTGACTTCTATATTTCAGAGGTTTAACTCAAGGTTTCTTTCTCCCATCCTTCTAAATGTATTTAGCCTGGCACCTTTATGTAAAGTTATCTCTGCCCTGGACACACCATGAAAATTTGGTGATTCCCTGCCCCAGTTTGCTATTATTTTCAATAATTGACATAGCTTTTCCCCAGAAGTTCAATAGCATTACTCACTCTCATGTAAAAGTATCAAAAGCAGTCAAAATGGCTAGGTGATATGCTTAGTAGCAACTAATTATGTAGTGTATCTATGTAGATTTATAAAGGGAAGAAACAAATCAATATTCTTAAATTTCTTGCAGTCATGCTACACTGGACTCTAGTAATTACATTCCTTCAATGAATTTGTTATAAACCAGTATAAAATCCTTCCTATAGGAATCTTATTGTGGATTTATTAGGGCTCCTTTTTTCTAAAAAGCAAGGTTAAAAGCCACAAACAAGGCACACCCTCAATTCATTTTTAGGGCACTTCTGCAATGTCTCCATACCAGTTGTATGTTCAAAATGCTGAACATCTGCAGCTGGAATTCAGTTTAATAATAAGAAACACCATATAAAACTTTTAGGCATTGTAGCTGCCAAAAGACAGTTTCCAACATTTGCCTATAATAAGATACAACCTTTAACCCTGTGTGATTTGCTGATTTATATAAATTAGACAAAATTGCAAAATCAGCCTGTATCTAGGCCATCATGATTACTAGTTCTACTTCATTTCAGGGTCTCATTGCTTTTGCCTCAAGAGTTTCTATGAAACATCTTTTCATGTGGCAACAGGGTGTGGAGAAAAGTATTTGCCAACGCAATCACCCTAGCTGACCAAACGAAATCCAGAAACCGTCTGGTGTTTGGGGAAAAGCCTCAAAGAAAACATTCAAAAGGCCCAAATTTCAAAATAGAAGTAATTTGCTCTCAGTTCCTAAGTTTAACAAACCTGAAACAGGTTTAGTAAACATTAAATATTTCCCTTTTAAGCATGAAAGAAGACATGGCCAGAATTTTTATAAGCACATGCCTACTTTTATGCCAATCAGATTCTTCCTTGGTATTTGTGTCATCTCAATTACAGAAAAGGAACTCTTCACAATTGAAAACAAGTAGAACACCTAAGAACTGATTTCCTCAAGCTCAAGCATCTCCAGAGAAGATGGAAATAAGCTACCACAATTTCCAATCAGCATGAGGAAAGCTAGCTGTAAACTGAAAAAAAAAAATTAGAATCTTATCTTATTTATTAGTTCACTAGAGGGTGATTTTAAACAACTAGCAAGAAAAGAGAGGTTTGCTCAATTAACCAACAACAATTGCTAAAAGAAAATAATATGTGTGAGTCTAGATCAGGTGTCGGCAACCCACGGCTCCGGAGCCGCATATGGCTCTTTGGGCACTCTGCTGCAGCTACCTGTCCTATCACTGGTTGGCCGCGCCCCTCGCCCCTTTTAGTTCTTTTTTGGATATTTTGGAAATCTGGGCTCGCTGAGGAACGATTGCCAGCCACAGTGAAGGCTTCCCTTCGGGCGACCCTCCTCCTCCTCTTCTTCTCCCTTCTCCTCTCATGACCCTCTGGCCAGCTGTGGCTGAGCTGGGAGCGTGCGCACAAGTGGGGAGATTCTCCTGAAGTGAGCACTGAAGTGCAGGAAAGGCTTGCAAAGGGTGGACGGCCGCTCGCTTAAGGAGGATCTTAACAGGACACAACAGGACGTGGCTTCTATCCTGCACTACAACTCCAGCCATCGCCTTGCTGTGTTGTCCCCCACCCCTGGCAGCTCTTTGGCCGAGCACAGAGGGCGCAAACTCCAGCCCGAAGTGGCAGGAAGCGAAGGCTGCCTTATGCACAAATGTACTTTCCTGTGTTTTGGCGCTTGCTTGAGGAGGGTCTCCCCACACATGTGCACACTTCCAGCTCAGCCACAGCCAGCCAGAGGGCCACGAGAGGAGGAGGGTCGCCAGAGAGTGCAGGAGGGAAGCAGCCCTGTACCTGCCTTCGTGCCATATTTGCATGTAAGGCAGCCTTTGCTTCCTGCCCCTTCGGGCTGGAGTTCACGCCCTCAGTGCCGAAGAGCAGCAAGGGGTTGGGGACGACTGGGCAAGGCGATGGCTGGAGCCGTAGTGCAGGAGAGAAGCCATGTCCTGTTGCATCTTGTTAAGACCCTCCTTAAGCGAGCGGCCGCCCACCCCACGCACGCCTTTCCTGCACTTTGGCACGCATGACACATGAGGGTCTCCCCATGTGTGTGCACGCTCCAGGCTCAGCCACAGCCAGCTAGGGGGTCATGAGAGGAGAAGGAGGTGGGGGGGAGGATGGTCGCCCGAAGGGAAGCCTCCACTGCGGCTGGCTATCGTTCCTCAGCCAGCTTGGATTTCCAAAAAGAAGAAATAAAAGGAGTAGTGAAGCACCCCAAGAAGAGCTTGCTGGCTTGGCCCAGCAGCGGCTGAAAGAGAGGGGGAGGGGGAAGGGGAGGGAGGGAGGGAGGGAGGGAGAGACACACATACACACAGTGATACACAGAGAGAGGGGAAGATAGGGAGAGGGGGAGAGAGACACAAAGAGATACAAAAAGAGGGGATGATAGGGAAAGGGGGAGAGAGACATAGAAAGAGAATGGTTTTATGGCTGAGTAGGTGTGGCTGGGAGGGGGGTTCATGTGACTTTGTGGGAGTGAGTGACATCAAGTTGGTCATGCCCACCCAAGTTTTGTGGCTCCCAGTGTGTTTTTTTTCTGTGAGAAACTGGTCCAAATGGCTCTTTGAGTGCTTAAGGTTGCAGACCCTTGGTCTAGATGATGAGCAAACGAATGGACTTGTAGGTAATGTGACTGATATGTGGAGCATGCAAACATCATATTAGATCTGAAATTTCAGATCTCAGAGGAAGGGCACAAAAGGACAGCAATGGAAAGCAAGTGGAATGTTGTGGAATGTTTTTATGCAGCAATGCGTTATTTTAATTAGCAAAATAAATAAACTAATGTTTCATGTCACTTCCCTTGCTATTTCCTTTAATGCTTCATTCAATGCTACTTATCAATTAGTAAACAGCATCTTTGAAACATAAAGATTATATGATTCAAAATGTTACTCTGAGAATTAAAAATAGCATAACACTTGTGTAATTTGTAATCCTCCTCTTTATTTATGATGTAGTAGTCATGCTCAGTAAAAATAAGCCATCTTTTTCTGGCTTTGTTCTAGCATTTTAAGGCTGGAGCATTTCTGAATATTCATTTGTATTCAATTGACAAAAGGCTGGGTCTCAACAGACTCTCTTAACTTTCTTCCCTGGGGACCAAGGCTGGGATATAGCATGTGGTTTGCTAAAACAAAACCTACTGCTACCAATCTTCTGAAAATCCAAATTTAAAAAAATGTTATACAAGCATCTAATGCAAATAATAATTTAGATTAAAGTGTATTGCATGACAAAAGCTTATGCTTCATGCATTCCTATATTTGGGATGAAAGAACCCATTGTGTTTGGTCCATTTGCAGCCAAAACTGACCTCAAAGCTGATACTATCATCCAACGAAGAGCCCAATGATTTAACTAAACACTCACCAATGTTCACTCAATGTAGAAAGTAATCCCACAAAGCAGCAAAGGCAATAGGGATGAAACCAGAGAATTAAAATGAAACAATAGAAGAAAACAAAAATAATTTTGCAGCACAGAGAGGAAGGTAAACTTTTTAATTTGCCACTACTTTCTAAAAAGAGTACCCCCCCACACACAAAAAAAAGCAAACGGGATTTACCGTGTAGAGCTCATTCAGAACTTTCATCAGGTCTTCTTGGAGCTGCTGTCCAACTTCTTTACTCTGCAATGCAAAAGGAACAACAAAAAGTTAGTTGGAAAAAATGGTATGGTGGATGCATGCATGTTATAACACACACAAATATGTCAGACACAATTAACTGCTATTCAAATTGGCACAGTCGCTTAGGTCCTATTATACCCAAATGAAAGAAATATTTTTTAATAAAGCGAAATGGGCTGTGGCCAAAGCCAGCCAAATATTGGTACAATTTTGGCAAAGGAAAGCAATCATTTTACAGAAAACTAGTTCTACGGTTTCTTGAATGTTCAACCATGGTAATTGAATTTTACCAGGCAGGAAGAAAGGAGCTTGTGGAACCAAGTAATGTGCATCTAGAGAATGCAGTGACCTTCACAGCTATCAACTAATCTGAAATAACATTATGTGCTCCCAAAATATCAGTGGTGCCTCTGTAATTCTAGGTATATTTTAGCACAAGGCAGTCCCTGTAAGTCATAGCTTTACAGCATAAATGGGAGCCCCAAAGCTAGGAACATATTTAGTCTTGCTTCTATCAGTCACATAGTAAGAACAAGCATATTAGAACACATTCATGTATCTTCTAGACTCCTCCTTCACTTCTTAGAGCTAAAAGAACAAGCAGTTTTATTACTTGATTTGCCCAGAGGAGATTGCCCAGATGGGGTGACACTTATTTTGCTGTAAGCAAACAGTTCAGAGTCTGTAATTTGATAAACGTTTGCTCTCTAAGCATTCATTATATTAAAAAAAAAACCCTAACTTTGAAGGAATCAAATACATATTTGGTCTTTTAATGCATGGCTAATTCTAAATGCAAAGTTTTCACTCTTTTGCAATAAAGTCAGTTTATCAACCCAGCTAAGTAAAATAAAAAAAAATTTATAAGATAAATGTTCTTCTGATTACTCCATGGAAATATTCAATACGCATTAGTATTCTATAGCCTACTTCCAAAATGGTTTTCTATTTCCCAATCTAATTTATTCTTCTGAAATGTCCTAGTATATTCCCACCTGTTTGAGATCAGATAGGTAATTTAGGTGCTGTCACCAGTTGGGAATCCATTCAACCATCAATCATCAAATTAAGAATCAGAGTATATCAACTCTTCACTTTGCAATAAAAGGGGGTTATATTTAAGCCAAAATCTGTCTGGTTCTGCAGTCCTGCTGTGGGAGATACCGAGGGGGGAAAAGGCTTCAGTTAAATGTGGGTAGAATTCACAATATGAAATCATTCCAGCAGTTAAAAATTTGGGCATGCTTTAAACTGTATGGATGGATGCAGAGTGCTCAAACAAGAATGGCTAGTACTGGGATCTGAAATCTATACTTTAAAAGGATACTTAGATTAGGGAAGGTGGTTTAGGTTAATGTCAGCATGCAGTCCTGGGGTCCCAGATTCCCTACTGTTACCCAGACTTATTCCACTTGTTAGCAGTAACTGTATTAAAGAAGAAAGACATTCCATTTAAGGTTATAGGACTGACAAGGAACAAATTTAAACAAATTTCCCCCGGTTTTTACAAATATTACTTTACATAAAAACACCTTGTGATAAATTATACTTTTTTCTGTGGCTCAATTAATACCGGTAAAGACATTTCTAACTCTAAACTCTTTTGATTATGTCTATTAGAACCTGGAGAAGAAGTCTTGCTTTTTTACAATCCTTGCTGAGTGTACACTGTGCAGTTTAGAAAACCTGCTACTTTGCCTTACTTTAGACCAGTTTCAATGCCAAGATTCAACACAAAAGAAACCCCACCCAGTGTACTTCATATTCATACACAGTCAACTCTCAGCACGCCTTCCAAGACTCAGATGTGTCATTGTCTTCACTTCACAATACTGTCATCTATTTTTATCAGCAAACAATCATAATACAGTTAGGGTTGTACAAATATACAACATTCCATAGTTAGGAGAGCCTGGATTTCTGAACTGCCATGTTAAATCCAAGGCATCATGACTCATGCGTATGTTTGCTTTACTAAGAATTATTAATATAATAAACTAATCAAAGAAAATTCTCTCCAATATGGATTTTACATGGAATTTTTACATGGACTATAAAATAAACCTGCCTGAAATTTACTTTAAGAATGATTTTTCAACTTAATCAGGTATCAATAAACTATTCTTTATTTGTGGTAATTGGTGAAAAAATATCTTCACTCAGAACTGCTAAATATATCTATCCAATTTTTTATAGCAGCAGCAATACATTCAGAATCAACATTACTAAAACCTATTCAGAACTTTCGTTCTACATAAAAAGCTAAATCCAGGGACACGACAACTTCTGAAGCCTACACATTAAGCATGGAGATTTTTGTTTACAAAATGTACAAACTGCTTTAACCCCAAGAGAGTCTAAACCATGAATATGAGTAACTGCAATGCAGACAGTGCAGAATACTGCAGTAAAACACAATAAAGCACCATATAAAGTCTAATAATAATAATATTTAGACAAAGTTAAGAATAGAAAAGACACATGGCATGGCAAAGTATTGCATGGCTAGTTATCATTAAAAAGAAGCAGGCAAATCAGATTACAAGACCCAGCAGTGGCTAAGAAGAGGGAAGCTGATGAAACAGACAGAGGGACTAATTCTGGCTGCACAAGGCCAAGCATTAAAAACAAATGCACACAAAGCCAGCATTGAGAAGGCAGCAACAGACAACAAATGCCGCCTCTGCAAATAAACTGAAGAAAGAGTGGACCACCTAGTTAGCTGCTGCAAGAAGATCAGTTAGTTGTTGCAAGATCACACTACAAACAGTGGCATGACAAAGTAATAACAATGGTATATTGAAAGATCTACAAGAAATGCCATTTGCCTGCAAGCAAGAATGATGGGGCCCCAAAATAGATAAAGTAATAGAAAATAAAGCTAAAGTTGTTCTGGGACTTTAGAATTCAAAGGCAAGCACCTGCTACATAATACTCTAGACCAGGGGTGTCAAACTCAAGGCCCATGGGCTACATCGGGCCCACAGGTTGCTCAGATCTGGCCCATGAGGCCACCCTGGAAACAGCGAAGGACCGGCCCATGGTGCCTCTGCCAGCAAAAACGGAGCCTGGGAGGGCTGTGTGTGGCTCTCCCAGACTCCGTTTTTGCTGGCAGAGGGTTGTAGGAGGCCATCGTGGCCTAAAACAGAGCCTTGACAAGTGATGTCAATCCTGCTCATCCACCCCTAGATCAAACACAACCCTGATGCGGCCCTCAATGAAATTGAGTTTGACACCCCTGCTCTAGACTTAACAATAAGAAAGATAGAAAAGTCTGGCAATGAATGTGGCACTATCTGGGGACAACAGAATAGAAGAGAAAGAATTAGGGGGGGGGGAATAACAAAAATACAAAGACCTGCAAATAGATGTAGAACGACTGTAGCAAAAGAATGCAAAGATAGTAGCAAGATGCCTTGGGTGCCATCCCAAAACATTTGGAATAGCACTTGAACACTACTGGCCTCACAAAATCATCATCAGTCAACCACAAAAGGCATCTTTATTTGGACCTTACATCCTGGGACAATACTTTTCAACACCATCCAACAACCTCTGCCTATCTCAGGTTCTTGGGAAGGACTTTTTAGGTTGCTAACAATGTCAAATCCAGTCTAAACATCTGGTTAACTATGCAACAACCATAACAACAATTGCATCTGGAATCATTAGATCTACAACAGCAAGATCTTATATACAGACTAGAATTATATATTATATTTCCCTTGTAGTTAATGTTTCCATAATCTGTTCTATGTGGAAGAAAAAATATGAATAAATTCTAGGTACATATCTTCTCTTTTCATATGAATTCTGATACTCTGATTTTTAGCAATCTTTGACTTATTTGAACCTAATTGCTTGTTCACCTAATAGAAAAAGATGCAGATGTACAGTGTATACACATATATGCAGTACACCAAATGGATACACATCAGCAAGCACACAAGGCTTCGAATGCACAGTTTTTTACTATTCTGAAACAATGTTTTCACTTTCTAAAGCACAAAAGTAGCAGTATCAAAGACCAAGAGAAATCTCTTTATATTTACTGAATAGTTTATAATACTTGCACAATGATGCAACCCCACCATTGAATGAATGACACTGGGAAGACAATGAAACCAATAAAAGAACAATTAATGCAAGCAGATGTTTCCTTTCCTTCTAACAACAGTTCTGAGAAGGGATGTAACATGAGTTATCCCTGTTTATTTCAGCAACCTGCTGAATTGAGTGTGACTTACTGCTTTAGTCTTAGTTCCCTTTGGAAATTTGTATTGTGCTTTACAGAGGAGCATGAAACTTTATGTTGTTTAAAATAAAAGAGACCTGTGGAAAACCAAAGCTTTACATACACCAAAGCACAATCCACAATCACCGAGTATAAAAGTCATCCAAGGTTACTATGCAGTACTGAGAAGCCAGAACCTAGATCTTTGATTTACAGGATATTGCATCTTAAAAATATATAAATAGCCATCTTAAAGCATGCCAGAGAAGGAAACTAGGTATATTATAAAGATGTTTCCCGGATGAATCCCTGATTATGAGGACAAAGAGACAATTATTGACCCCGTGAAGGACTCTTACTCCTTTCCCCTTAAAAAAGTGGGACTCTTCCTTAGAATACTATAATGAAGGGCAAATTAAGGCAGGGAAGGATATTAAAATCAAAAGCAAAATAAGAAAATGCTAATGCCCACCACCCAGAAAAGAAATCCAGGAAGAGTGCTAAATAGAGTAATAACAATGAACTCAACTGTGGCCAAAAATATAAAAAAAGCAACTCCTATGGTATGGATTGTTAGAAAAGAGACTGAAAATAATGACTGCATCGAAACAAGAAAAAATACAACCATACAATTTTTAAAAGATATTTCAGAACTGGAAAGAGAGGAGATTGGATCAACCACTATAAGTAAAGGTTTAAAACATTTTCAGTGTTTTTGTTTTAAGAAATTAAGCAGAAGAGAGAAGCAATAGAAATTTAAAATTTA